GTCGTTGCAAGCTTTCGCCGCTTGCCCTCGCCGGTGTCGCCGCTGGACTTGCTGGGGTTTCCCTCCCCAGAGCTCGAGGCAGACGCGTTACTCCCCGCAGATGATTCGCCGTCTTCAAATCCGCCGCCGCCACCGCCGCCGCCGCTGCTGCTGCTGCTGCTGCCGCCGCCGCCGCCGCAGTCGTCGTCGTCGTCGTCGTAGTAGTAGTCCTCGTCATCGTCGTCGCTGAGGCCTCCGCCACGCACCCCTTGAACGTCAGGGCCGTTGGAGGCCGTGAACGATACGTCCTCGTCCGGGTTTGCGGCCAGCGGTCCGTACAACAGCCACGTAAACCAGTACGGAGGGAGAAAGTTCTCGGGTAGCTCCTTGTTGAGCAGGTCGTCACGGTTCGGGATAGTCGGGATCGTGATCATCTCGGCTAATCTCGGGTTTTGCGTCTGGCGCTTCTTCTGCAGCGCCTCCCTCCGTTTTTTTTCGACCTCTTTGATCTTCCTGTTGGCAGCATCTTTGACCTGGTCCTCCCACACCTTTTCGATGACCTCCATCATCACGTCCCCGTTCTGTTCTCCAGATCTCGGCTGCCCCTGTTCGTTTGTCGCGCTGCACATGTGTGTACAACCGACGACGAGGACACAGGGGGGCGCTGCGTACAATGAGGAGGTGCCTCCAAACCTACCTCGCGAACAAAGACAGATGCAGCCGAGAACCCAGACCAAGATTTAACAGGGCGTATGTCGTCATTGAAAGGTAGCCAACAAAAAGAAATACACTTGAAGTACAACTAACACCATAGCGCGGTGCTGTCCCGTGCAATACACCAACCTCCCCGATATTTGAACGAACAAAAACTCTAAAAAAAAACACCACAACGTCGACCGTGGCTCCTGAGCAATACGAGCATGCCCCCGGATTGTGAACTACACCACCAACGTCGCCCAAGGTTTTAATTGGCATTTCAACCAGGAACCGGTAACGCGGGATATAACCAATGTCGGGCACGTGTACCCTCAACTACAGTNCTTCAGTTCGCGCCGCTGCTCCTGACCCCGCATCAACACTTGTTCAAGTTCGGATCAAAGAGGCTGTGCTTCGCTGCGTACGAAAACAGCGGGCAGACACAGAGACACAGGTGGCGAAGAGAGGCAGATGTGAGGAGTGAAGAGGGACATCAAGGGAAGAGGGAGGATTGAAACGCATGTGCTGCACTTTCCATATCTGACGGCAGTTTTCCCGTGGAGGCTTGACGCTACCGGCACACGCACGGCGTCACCTCAGGTGGCCACCTACAGCAGTACGTACATACCGATGGCTCCAGACCGTTCGCGCCGGCGACGGCGGCGGTGGCGACGGCGACATACAT